CTGCCACTGGGTGGGAGAGACATAGGCATCTTCTCTTCTACATAGTCCTGTGACAAAACTGAGGAATTTGGACTATGTACTTCTCTGCATCTGGGAAAGAAGAACTTTAGAATTTATTCATACTTCTTTCTGAATGTGTTAGGAGTTATAGGTTGTAAGTATCTGCTGCTTAGGTAAAGGGTGATGCTGCTACAATTCTAAACCAAAAGCACCTCCAGCCTAGGTCTAATAGCACTGATGTGGTCCTCACATCCCCTTTTGAGAGCTTTAGACTATTACCTGTGTGCAAATCACTATAGATACACTGAGAGTTCTCTTTTAAGAAAATAAATCCTGTTACTGCTGTTATGAAGTATAGTTTATTTCAGAATCTCATGGGAGAGATTAATTAATGCAAACAGCAAGATTTCGAAAGACCAAAACATTTTGGATTCAACAAATGTTTAACTACAAGTCATAACAAAAAACCTAAAAATTACATTGAGTATCTGCAGCTCTCATCTGAAACAGAACCATGTTGTATAAGCTGGTAACACATTTGGTTGTATTTTAGGTTTTTCCTTATCAGATTCCTAAAGTAAGTCAGTTATGTTTAAAGTAGTAGCTCTTTTAATTGTGTTCTTTATTCTTGTAACTCTAGTTTGTGGTATGTAATGTCTTACATAAAATCTCTCTTTCTCTTTAAGGCACAAGGAAAAGGAAATATAATGGACTATAAGAAGGTTGGTAAATTACATTTAAATCTCCTTATTTTTAATGTTTTTTGCAACACTTTCAAGGATATTCTCGACAGTTGAGAAACTTCCTTATTAAAGTCAGGTTATAATTTGTGTGTGTGTATGTGGAGGGAGAGAGAATGGTTTGTGCAATTTCTTGATTTTAAAAAGCCGGTAATAGTCAGCTGTACTCTTAAGTGTCAAATGTAGCTATTTAATATCACTTTTGCAATTATTTATCCCATTTACTTCCCCAAACTTGATTTTGAAACCAGGCTTCTGATGGCTTTTGCTTTCTTCTTTTTCTGCAGTCATTGATAGGTTAGCTCCTATCAGTGGTCTCTATGTATTGATAGAATATGCTGTTACTTTTTTTTTCTTAATCTCACCTTAATACCGTTCCATCTATTAAAAACCATACATACACGTGTTTTATAGTAATTTATGTTTCTTCCAGTCCCCATTACAACTTTTGGCTAAGTCACCACTTTATTTGCTACTGGGGCTGCTCTATAGTAAAAGGGAGACCTGAACTATCTAGCTAATCTGCTGAAAGTAGCTGGGACGCCATAAAGCTCTTGGAGAGCTGCAGGAGATGGCCGAGAAGGTTCCCCTGGTTAAATACTGGAGCACACTGTGCTTGTGCTGGTGACAGAGATGGCGTTGTGTCCCCAACTCACTCAGTGAGCATGAGCCTGACTTGTTCTGAGTCTTAAGTAGATCATGAGGGTCCAGTTAGTTATCTCCAGCGTCATTGGGAAATAATATATAAATTATCAAGCCACACGCATGATTGAGAATTGCTTCTTGAGCTGGGGCCTGAAAAGTGTTACCACTATGACTGATAGCAGCTAGTATGGAAGGCCAACACACAGATACAGGCCAGATTTTTAGGTACAGGTCAGATTTTTATTATAATTATTCTGTATTAAGAAAATTTGCAATTTGGATTATAAAAAAAAGCTCTCTGTCCTTTCTTCCTCTTAGAACATAAAAAGGATCTCGACCTCAGCTTGCTATTTAAAATCGTCATGCTTTCAAGGTTTTTTTCTACAGTAGGAAACAATTGATCCAACTGTGACTTTCTAAATCACCACCGAGAGCACTAAATTCTTTCTTCAAATATGTCTGAGTATGTGAGACACTTCTGTGAATGTTTAAACTAGGCTACTTGCTCTCGTAAGTCCAGAATGGGTTTTCTCCTTGTAATTGTTACAATTGTGATCCACCCAATGTCACTTCCATAGTTTAAAAAAAGAAAAGGGGAGAAGGGGGGAGAAAAGCATCTAAAATTGCTTTACTGAATTAAATATTTGTCAGTGTATTCTGTATTTTGATATTTTGACTGAAATTATTTCGTATTTTGGATCCTTCCCGTGAAATTTAAAAACTTGTGATTAGGCAACTTGGACACTTGAATAAAAGGAGAGGAAGGGGAAAAAGCCCTTCAAGTTTTGTATTTTGAGCCAGAAAGCATGTGATTTACTACCTGTGGGTAACCACCTCTATTATGAGTTTGTAATGACAGTGAAAAACTTTCTTCATGGTTTTTGTGAGCTCAAAAAATAATCAACTTTAGTTTTGTAGAAGTCAGTTTCAAAACTGTCAAGTCCCTCTCTTCTATGTTTCTTTGTTTAAAATAAAAGTGGTCATTAATTACATCCATGCTAAATGAACCCGGTAACCTGTAGCTCACCCCAGCATAGTGGCCTGGCCAGTACATGCACACAGCCAATTAGAAGGCATGTTGTGCAGTATAAATTAGTATTTCTTTTTTGCCCTTTGCCATGTCGTCTTTATTTCTACATTGCTAGAGTCAGTGTTTTGCACATCGCTCAGGCTTTTCTTTGCAGCATCAAGGTCCTGTCTCATCTTTCTATTCAGTTGCTAGAATTACTTTAACATTCCTAATCAAATGTGGGGGCTTGTTTCTCATTGAGTCTCCAAAATATCTCCTCTTTAATTTTGTAGAAGTGAAGGTCACTAAAACTAGCTGTAGAACTTCTGGAAATTTGTATTATTTTTGTTCTCTTAATTTTTAATATGAACTTCAGGGGGCCACTTAGTTGAGAAAAAAATGTTGTTCCTTTAGTTGAATACATAAATATGTGTAAAAAATTTGTTAGCTGTTTAGCCTACTTAAGAATATTTTACCTTACTCACTGTGGCTTTCTATTAAAATAATGAATTAAGGTAAATTTGAGAAATTGAGATCCACCCATTTAATAAGCCTCCTTAAAAGGTGAAGGTCTTACTTTATTTCAGTTTGGAGACTACTCGAGGATTTTGAACTGTTCTTTTGATGCATGTTATATTAAAATGGTATCTCTGATTTTTTTTTCACTGACAAAAAAAATATCTAGATGGTACTAGTAAATTTAGCACGAGCTTTGACATAAATATAGAACTGAAATACTTTCTATTAATTAATTATTTGCTATTCTCGAGTGGACTGGAGAATAGCAAATGTGAAACTGGTCTACAAGAAAGGCTGAAAGGAGAATCCGGGAAACTACAGACCTGTCAGTCTGACCTCGGTGCCAGGCAAGGTCATGGAGCAGATAATCTTGAGTGCCATCATGAGACATTGACAGAACAACCAGGTGATCAGGCCCAGTCAGCATAGGTTTATGAAAGGCAGGTCCTGCTTGACTAACCCGATCTCCTTCTATGACAAGATGACCCACGTGATAGATGAGGGAAAGGCTGTGGATATTGTTTACCTTGACCTCCGTAAAGCCTTTGGCGCTGTTTCCCACTGAATTCCAGTGAAGCAACTGGCTGCTCATGGCTTGGATGAGCATATACTCTGCTGGGTAAAGCACTGTCTGGACGGCCGGAGACTGGTGATCAATGGAGTTAAATCCAGCTGGCGGCCAGTCACAAGTGGTGTTCCACAGGGGTCAGCACTAGGGCCACTTCTGTTGAACATGTTTATCAATGATCTCAATGAAGGGATAGAATGCACCCTCAGTAAGTTTGCAAACGACACCAGGTTGGGTGGGAGTGTTGATCTACTTCAGGGTAGGGAGGGTCTACAGAGGGACTTGGACAGGCTGGATCAATGGGCTGAGGTCAATCGTATGAGCTTCAACAGGGCCAAGTGCCGGGTCTGGCACTTGGATCACAACAACCCCACGCAGAGCTACAGGCTTGGGGAAGAGCAGCTGGAAAGCTGCCCGGCAGAAAAGGACCTGGGGGTGCGGATTGACAAGTGGCTGAACATGAGTCAGCAGTGTGCCCAGGTGGCCAAAAAAGCCAATGGCATCCTGACTTGTATTAGGAATAGTGTGGCCAGCAGGAATAGGGAGGTGATCGTCCCCTTGTACTCACCTCGAATACTGTGTTCAGTTTTGGGCACCTCAATACAAGAAAGACATTGAGGTGCTGGAGAGAGTGCAGAGAAGGGCAACAAAGCTGGTGAAAAGCCTAGAGAATAAGTCTGATGAAGGGTGGCTGAGAGAACTGGGGCTATTTAATCTTAAGAAAAGGAGGCTGAGGGGAGACCTTATTGCTTTCTACAACTGCCTGAGAGGACATTGTAGAGAGGTGGATGCTGTTCTCTTTTTCACAGGTAATTAATGACAGAACAAGAGGGAACGGACTCAAGCTGCACCAGGGGAGGTTTGACATTAGGAAAAATTTTTTCACTGAAGAGGTTGTCAGATGTTGGAATAGGCTGCCCAGGGAGGTGGTTGAGTCACCATCCCTTAATGTGTATAAGGTCATTTAGATGTGGTGCTTGGCGATATTGTTTAGGGGTGTACTTGGTAGAGTGGGGTTGATGGTTTGACTTGATGATCTCAAAGGTCTTTTCTAACCTGAATGATTCTATGATTTTGTGAATTAGGTCTGAGACTGTCATGTCAATAAAGTCATTATGTTGTGCAAAACTTTTTAGTATTTTTTTTCTCACAGTTTTTCTCGATCTTTGTATCAGAAGGACTTTGATAGCACAGAAGGCTTATTTTAAGATCTGTGTTTCTGAATATAATTTCTCACATTAGCATCTGAATGTTTCACTCTCCCCCACCCTCCATCGCATCCAGACAAATTATTGATCCATCATTGTCATGTTTGAAAGTCTCTCCCAGAGAGGAAAAAGTAGGTTTAGCTCTGTTTTAGTGGTGTTTCTCAGATAACAAAAGAGAAAGTGCCAATATATGGCAGGGACAAAATTTATGCATGCCATTGAAAGAGACAGCAACTTTCCTGTCACCCTCATTTGTATGTGGGATTTTGGCAAAAATTTCAGACTTTTTAAAATCAAAAAGCTTTTATCCATTTTACATCTACTTTGCATGCAAGATAAGCTGTGTAATTCTAAAACAACAAATTGAGATTCTCAATTTAATTGTTACTCTTTTACAATATTGATTAAAATCTCTCTACTGAAGTCAACATCTTAATGGTGCTTGGCATTATACAGACTTGTTACATGAACGTAACAAAGGCACAACTAGTAGCAGAAATGGCTAAGCTAGGAATAATTCCTGTTTTCTGGCCAGAAAAATTATAAGGTAAGGCTAAATAAAGAAACAAATCCTGTATTTTGCAAAGAATATGCTACTACAAGGATTTCTTGTTTTTCTAAATCCAATATTCAGAAAAGATAAACTAAGTCAAGTGAAAGAGGACGTAGCAAAAGGTGGGGGTTTTTTTGCTGTAGTCCTGTCCATTTGCTCTGCAGTCTGTTACAGAGACCTTTTATCCAAACTGGCATGGGAAATACTTGGGAAACACAGCATAGTATGCTGTGACATACTTTGTTGGCTTGCATGTGAAACACTGTGCGTGACGTTAACACAGGGAGCAGATTTTGGACAGTGCTGGAAGTAACGCAAGTTGAGAAGTGGTAGATCCAGCCATTCATACACTGCATGGCACAAATGTCTTGACTTCCCATGTGGTGGCAAAGAGAGAAGAGAAATGGGAAAGGTCACATTCGGAAACAAGGAGGTTTCTCAGTGCTAGCCTGCTGTCATGCAACTAGTAAATACCACCAC